CCCCCACCCACCCCCTAGAAATGTAAATGCCCCACCAATGGAGGTGCCCTGGCGCCGGTCTTTTCCTCACTCAAAACTTTACTTTTTAACTCTTTTGGCATGGTCAATAGTCATTATTTAATTCCAGTTACTTTTTGGGGTACTACTAGCGCTGTTTTTGCCATTCAGCTGGTCCTATTGCAAGAGGATAGTGATGACCACAGCAGTGGTTTTTATACTTTTCCCCATTAAATAAGATTTGGTTGAGGTGATCACCTAATCAGTACTTCATTAAGCAGAATGTGGTGTGCCTGTGTTGGAATTCAACAAACACTGGAATGGAATGGCTGCCATACATGTAGAGATGCTGATTTAAGATTTGTTCTCTTAATTTTTTCAAGAGCTGTATGTATATAGAAAGTGATGAGAAAGTAGGTGTAGAACCACATGGTGGAGAGTAAATGATGACAGAATTCCTTTCCTCATTTGTCAGTATTCTATTCTAAATAGGGAGGCCATAATTTGAATACTTTAATAATAATAATAATAATTATTATTATTTAATTGAACTGTAATTCAATACAATTATGAGCATGTAAATTATACATAAATTTTCTTTACTGGTTTTAAGTGGGTTTTTCCACAAAACAGTAATGAAAAATGTTACTGAATAAAGAAATATGTCATGAAAGATTTTTATTGAAACTTTTATTTAATCTTCTGTACATGCATTATGTAAAGCAGTGGGATACAGATATCTCCCACCCCAATACAGTCTAAAACCAAGAAAAAAGAAAAAGATACCCCCTCAAATGACTTTACAGAATAGATTTCATTAGCACTGTAGATTAGCATCACTGTAGATATGAACCCCAAAGTGGTGACCTTGCAATCACAATTAAATGTAATGTCATATCCCCGTCTTTTTCAGCTATGAGAGACCACACGAACGTGCTTAATAACGCCTTCAATCGATTTGGTTATTTGAAAGATGCACAGCAGCATCCTAGGCTATATGTCGCGTTAACCGTACATGATGAACAGCTACATCTATTGATACCAAGAGTTTAAACAACTTGTAAACATATGAACAGCATGTAAAATGTAAAATGTAAAAAAATCAGACAATAACATAATATTAATTACAGCATTTGCAAGCTCCAAGCCAGAAACATGTTCGTAGCATCATGCTCTCGGAGGCCGAAAAACAGAATTGCACCTAGTATGGCCAACCTCTGGGGAGGATCAGTTACCCAGTTTAAGTTTAGATGTGTGGTAACAGGCACTTCTTGGACTCACGGGTAATAGAAGTGATGTGTGTTAAAGAGACAGACTTTAAATGTAAAGGCAATTGTGGCCACTTTTAACTGATAGAGGAGCCCTTAAAGCTGAAATATCCCAAAAGCAGTCCTTTGAAAGTGTGACAGAAACAGGCAGAATGCGTCTATCGTCCCAATATAGCAAAGATGTGCGATTGGATGAGCGATTTGAGATTTGATTGTAAAAAAGGCCTCTGAGCTAGAAGAATAATGGTGCCGCCCCATATGTTCAAAGGCATTTCCCCTTTCCGTTGTCCTGCGTAAGTCTTAAAAGAACAGTCAGCGTAGCCTATGTACACACACATTTACATTAAATAGAAGGCAAGTTCCTTTCGACAACCCTCGTAAAAGCGGGATGCCTCGAGTAACACCACATCGAGCGGCTTGGTTCAACATCCAGAGGTCCGTGTTCTCAAAGCCTCCCCACATAGAGTGACGACAACACGGACAGACACTTAAGACCAGAGCAGAACCCGTAAAGGACAGAGGCGAGAGGCGGTCCCATCGTTCAGCAAATCCCTCCGGCCACCGCAGCTAGACGCAGAATCCATTTCCGCCATCCTCGGGTCGCCGGGTTCTACCTGGTGAGCTGGCCGACCACTTTGAGCAAGGTCTTATTTTCCTGTTTGAGCTGCTCATTCTCATCTTCAATATCATCCAGATCCTGAAAAACGTGGAAATATGCAGACAAAATTATTCTTCTCACAAAGCACAAGGGAGACTCGATTGTCAATTGATTCCAAGTTTGACGTTAAAGTGTTGCAAAGCTAACAATATGATATTTGTAGCATAAATATGTATTAAACAGAAATTTGTCTTAAAGTAGTAAATTAAGATGCTCCTCTTAGGGATGTGCGCTACAACTCATTTCATAGTCGATTAAACAGAAATTTTGTTCCATCTAATCAACTAGTCGAAAAGTAAGAAACCCTCAGAAGACAGTCACAAACATTGTGTGTAAATGTGATTTGAAATACTTCAACTTTGAATCAAATAGTCAAATAATTCCAGATACATTATGATGTGAATTGTTTTTTCTGTCAAACGGCTAAAATTTACATTGATGGCAACAAAAGCAGCAGACCATGGTTGACCAGTAAACAAAGCAGCGCTTCTAGGCATTATACTTAAATAACATTAAAAATGTCAATGAAACTTTTCTGCAGAAAGTCAGTTCCCTTTCATTCATAATGTTTCCCCCTTTAAACCAGTAAATGCGCTCCCACACCTTACTCGTCTTCAGACATTTCTCTGATCCCGCAGAGAGTGACAGGAAGAAAACGTATGCATGCAAGATCTGATGTGAAATGAAATGAATTTGTTTTCCGCTCCAGATATCGACTTTTCAACATAATGTATTATTTCTAAAACGTAACATTAAAATGATTAAATTTCTACTAGTATTTACAGTATCGACTAGCAGCAGCAGTTCCGTTTAATCGAGTAGTTTAGCACATCCCTAGCTCTTATATATGCTGTTCAATATTGAGTGGTTTTGTAGGAGGTGTTAGGAAGTCATTGCTAGTTTTGCATTGCAAGTCAGTGTGTTTATAAGTGTAAATTGAGCAAGTTAGTGTGGTGAGGGTAATGGTATCTATACTTTGTAAGCAACGGCTTTTCCCCCTGTAAAGTACACTAATACAAGAACACTATCATTGTTGTAACTATGTATTTGTTGGCGTTGCTTGCTACACTACCATTGAAAGTTAAAATGTAGCATCTCAGTCGGGTCACCTTTCGCCAGAGCAGGATTAATAATAACAAATGAAACATTAGCAGGTTCAATTAGTGGCAAAAAGCTGTGGCAGTAAAGTGACAAGTTTCATTTACAGTTTCCTCAGTCACTAACGATGACGGACAGTCGGCGGGATTACTTGCAGCACACATTTCAAAGAGCTCAAAAATGATATACTACTATTCAACTACTTTTCAAAACTATGAAAAGTAACACTTGTTTTTCCAGGAGAAAAAATAGCAGTCAGGTGCAGTTATTACGAGGAAACAACTAACAGCTTTGTACACTTAAAGACAAACTAATTAATAATGTTGCATGAAGACTGCGGTTAAAGTGATTTCTGTTGTTTAAGCTACTCTGGCAGAGACGTGGAGTAGATTGTTCAGGTAAATTACATGCAAGTGGTGAAGATTTCATCATGCTGCACCCTACAGCAGAGTTAATCAGGCAAGTCAATGGTCGCATGTCTGACAGCTGAAAAAAGGCTGTGTTTGCAGATATAGTATGGTGGTAGCATGCACGGGTAACATCCCATGTACTAAGGGGGCATTTTGTGTCCGTGTAAACTTCAAAAACGTGATTTGTGAAAACGGTGATGTCATGTCCATGTGTATTATGTGTTCAGTGTATAGCATATGCAAGCACTTGACAACCATAATACAGTGATGTTAGTTGTTTTGGTGGATCTGTGTGAACAGGGATTGTTTTGACAATGTTGCAGTGTATGTGAAACTTTTCTTGTTTTAGTACATTAGTGTCATGTAAAAATTGTAAATGTGAATTGAATTAGTAATGTATTTTATTAGTGTATTTATAGGATACTTTGTTGTATTTCTACTACAGTCCATTGATGTGTGGTTGTATTGTGAGGTTTTTTTTGTGTAGCGGAGCTACAGTGTTTAGCTGTCGAAGTGTAGATGATAGGTACACAATGAGTAATGGAAGATTTGAAGGAGGAAATGTTTGTGTGCTTCTGTGTTTCAGAGAGTGTGGTCAATTGTAGTGTGATTAAAGCGTGCACGTGCTGGAGTTTGTGAGGCACATGCCTGTTTGGGGCACAGTGGTCGTGTTAGGAAAGAGCACATCTTGTTGTCGTTTGTAGTTGCCAACTGTCAAGATAAATGTGGTGTTGTTTTTAGTTGAAAGGTGGCCTCCTTATATCTGACCGTGGAAGCTGGGTTTACGATGTTTATTTCTTTATATTTGTATTCTGTTAGTGTGTGTGTTTAGAGCATTATAGTGAAGAGACATGAAAACAAGAGACGCAGGGAGAAAGTTTGAGCGGTCCGTGTGAGTCCAGCAACGGCACAGCTGACTGTATTTTTTTTGGCATGGGCCTCTGAAGCTCTGTTTGTATTGGAAGGAAATGAGAGAACAGACTGCAATCTCAGACAAAGACAACAGCCCTGACATAAAAGGGTCAGAACCACCTACTGGGTGTATTCCCTGCAGAAAGCCTAAAAGTAGAGCCGTGTTCTAATGCAGACGGTGATGGAGAGTTTGAAACACTGACCTGGCTGGACTACTGAATCACCAATGTTGCCAATGTTGAAAATCTGTGTGTGTAGTAAATAGTAAGCTGTAATAATGTGTAATGCATAGCTGTGATGCAATTGTCAGCTTCGCGAATGAATAATGCGATTGTGCTTTTTCTTAGCACTATTGAGAAGGCTAATGAAAAAGTGCAAAATGGTGTTGTAATTAAGGGTTCACTTACGCCGGTGCTTCCTTTGAGCACTCCCGCCAAGAAAATAGTACTTTCAAATGTCCCTCCTTTTGTGAAAGATGATGTTATCATGCAAGAATTGTCACGATATGGAAAAATAGTCTCTCCCATCAAAAAAATTCAGCTCGGATGTAAATTGCCTGTAGTGAAACATCTTGTGTCTTTTAGGAGACAGATGTTTATGATTCTGAAGAATGGCGAAGATGAACTTGATCTGGTTTTTAAATTTAAAATAGATGGCTTTGATTATGCTATTTGCATCATCTGATACGACGATCAAATGTTTTGGTTGTGGAAAAATCGGGCATCTTATTCGTAGTTGCCCTGATAAAGTAAATAGGGACACAGAGCATGTTGATGCAGATAAAGCCGGGAGCACTGTCACTGAAACTAGTGCATCCGCGGCTGCCTCACTGGAGGTTGGAAATAGTAGCCTACCGCTGTGAATGTATCGTTAGAAGAGCCGGTTGAGGGCGAAAGCAGCGCGGAGACATTGATGTCTGATTCTCCTCTTGTTGATGGAGGTGTTGTGGTGGAGCCTGTAGCGGCAGAGACCGTGGCTGGATTGAGTAAGACAGTATCTTCCGCATTTGTAGAACAAGACCGAGAAACTGGAAATGAAGACTTGAGATTGAATGATTGTAAATTGAACATGGAAATTGAATCCATCTTCAAAATTCCAATTAAAAGAAATCAAAATGATAAAATCAATAAACAAGTCAAAAAAAGTGATGGTGAAGATGAAATCATAGTTTCGGATGATGATGACTCTGATTCTAGTGCTTCGGTGTGTTAAAAGTTTTCTGCTTGTTCTCAAAATGAGAATGTAAACGTTGTGTACAAAACTGAGGACATTAGTCTTTTTCTTCATGAAACAAAAGGGCTAAAAGGCATACAGATTGAGGATTATTTTCGTAATCGTGCACAGTTTGTGAGGGACACCAGATATTTAATGAAAGAAGGGGCTTTCTCTGAGTTCTTAGAGATGAGAAGAATAACATGGTTTAAATCCCTAAGTTTGGTGTTTTTGACCATATGTACAATCTGTTTTTTCTCCTCTTAGTTTCTTGTGGAACTTAAATAATACTATGAGTCAGCAAAAAATTGGAACTCTAAATTTATATGGAGCTAGAGATGTTCATAAAAGGATTATGTTGTATGAGTTTATTAGCCAGAATTCTGTTGATGTCATGATTATACAAGAAACGCATAGTGATAAAAGAAATGAGGTGGACTGGAAAAGAGAGTGGGGAGGTCAACATTTTCTTAGTCATAAATCCTCTATTAGTGGAGGTGTGGCAATATTATTTTCTAAAAATGTGACTCCAGTATCTTATTAATTTGTTGAAATTGAAAAAGGATGTTTTTTAAAAGTTATATTAAAATAAAATAAAAAAAATTATAGTCTTTTTAAATATTTATGTTCCTAATAGTGGAGTGGAAAGAGTTTTGTTTTTAAATTTAGTCAACACTACTCTGAAAAGCCTAAATACAGATGAAATTTTAGGTGGAGATTTTAATTGTACTGAGAATGATAAAGTAGACCGAAACCATTTAGAACCACATGTTGCATCTCAAAGGGTTATCAAGCAATTGGTTCAAACTTTTGATCTCTGTGATATTTGGAGAAATATGTATAAAAAACTAAGACAATACACATGGGTTTATTGTAAAGATAATTCATTGTCTTTGGCACGTCTTGACTGATTTTACAGCTTTAAGCACCAGTTTAATATTTTTAAATCTTGTAGAATTAATCCTGTAGGATTCTCAGACCACAGTGCGGTTCTTTGTTCTGTAATAGTGAGCAATGTAAAGTCAAATAGTGCCTATTGGCATTTTAATACATCTTTGATTGATGATAAAAAATTTAAAGATTCTTTCTTTTTTTTTTCTGGGATGTTTTTAAAAAACAAAAGTATTTATATAGCTCTTTACAACAGTGGTGGGATTGCGGGAAAATACAAATGAAACGATTTTGACAGTAGTATACTTTTAATGTTACAAGAGAATTAACTCGATCATTGAATACTTTAGAGACTGAGATAGTTGATTTGCACAGTTTGTCTGCATCTACAGGAAAAAAAGAACACATTGAATCTCTTACATCAAAGAAAACTTTATTGACAAACTTGTTGGGCATTAAGGCAGAGGGAGTGTTGGTTCACTCACGTTTCCAGAAAGTTACACAAATGGATGCACCTTCTAATTTTTTCTTTGGTATGGAAAAAAAAAAAATAAAAATAGTCAAAGTAGAATAATTCATTCCTTGGTTTCTGATACAGGACTGGAATTAACTAAAACTTCATAAATAAGACAAGCTGCTGTACAGTTTTATAAACCATAATATACAGCTTTTTAATTAATGAAAAGACAATGACTACTAGTAGTTTTTTTTGAAGGTCTACCAGTTCTTGATGAAGAGAGTAATGAAAAATGTAAATGACCTCTGATGGTACAAGAACTCTATACAGCATTGTTGAGCATGGAGAATGGGAAATCATCTGGAATTGATGGGTTACCCATTGAATTTTATAAAACTTTCTGGTCCATTGTAGGAGAAGATCTCTTACAAGTAGGGATGTAATGATTAACCGCGGGCCGGTTGAAAATCGATTCAAATATGTGACGATTCAAATCGGTTGAGATGCTAAACAAATCACGATTCATTTAGGTGTAGGAGTTTATATGAATGCATGTCTGAGGGGAACTTACTGTCTTTAGAAAAGTTTAGATGGTATTTTTTCTATTCATCTTGCCTCTGTATAATGCATATTAAAGTAAGTGCAGCGCTGCTTTGTTTTTGCAGCGGAAACCAAGGAAACGCTTTAAGCGCCACCTGCTGGCAGAGAGTGCATCTGCGTCTCGTTCAGCTCGTCTGCTGTTTCTGTTTCATGCAGATATTAACCAAGGAAACGCTTTAAGCGCCGCCTGCTGGCAGAGAGTGAATCTGTGTCTCATGCAGATATTTTTATGTATAGTTTCACAAAACTGAAGTCAAACCATTCTGTTTTTGCTTCAAATTTCGAAATTATATAATTTAGATTAAAAACTGCTCATGAAAATACCACATTTAATAACATGTTTTTACTCGCTTCATAACGTCAGTCGAGTGTTTGAAATAAATCCTTCTGTGAGATGATGTGGCTTCTTACACAGAATAAGGCATGCAACATATTTCATAGTATTCTAAGCAGTGATAGTCGATTAGCATTGCATTATTATATACTTTAATATAATAAAAAATATAATAAGACAAACTCAGATAAACCATATATTGTTGTAGTCGTGTGTTTATTAGTCAAGTTGAATCAATGAAAGCAGTTAAATCTTCTGTTTATTCAGCAACCGTGGGATTTCCTGGATTTCTTTTGCAAGGCGTATTTGGAGTTTCAGCACGAGAGCGCCTTCGGATGGAGATTTACTGCTGATCACAGAACCGTGCTTCACTGAAAGATACGCATGACAATTGCAGCTTCTGCCTAATCGCGATTTATCGCCTTTGCGATTTAATTTCGATTAATTGACTGTTAAAAAGAGATGGTTTAAATACCTGGGTGTTTTTTAGGTAATGAATATTTCATGCGGAAAAATTGGGAAGGAATGGCAGATAAAGTATTAGGACGCTTGAAAAAATGAAATGGTTGCTTCCTCAATTGTCTTTTAGAGGACGCACACTTATTATTAGCAATCTAGCGGCTTCTTCCCTGTGTCATAGACTTGCATGCGTTGATCCTCCTGTTGGCTTTTTATAAAAAATTCAAGCAGAAGTGGTGGACATTTTTTGGGACAATTTACATTGGATCCCTCAAAGTGTTCTTTTCTGGCCAAAGAAGATGGAGGCCAAGGTGTAGTGCATTTGGCAAGTATCGTCTTCAGTCTTTGCAGAAATTTTTGCTGGGATCCGAAAGACTGGTATGGAAACCAGTAGCTCAGGGTGCGTTCCCACTTGTAATTCGGTTCTCTTGGTTCGTTTGGTCCAGACCAAAAAAGAAAACGATACATTTGATCCTGGTCCGCGGAGCGTTCACATTGGCATTTTTGACAGCGAACCTAAAGATACCGAACCTAAAGGCATAGTGATACGTTCACAACCTGATTGGTTGGGATGAATGATGTATATTTCACGACAGGACTCACCAAACAAAAGCTGTGTCCGACATAAAGCGGCGCTGCGCAGACTGATCAGTGTATGACATCAAAGTACCCATTCACCGATCGGTCTGCTCAACACCGCTTTAAGTCAAACACACATAATGCTGTCTGCTGGACTATTCGTGCTCATTGCTGCGTGTACTTATTTTATTTTCACCACCTGCGAACTCACGAAGAGCTCATAAAAGGCACTTTACCTCCACGTTTGCCCTCTGCTCCTTTTGTTTTGGATACACTGCTCATTCTGCGTTGTCAAATCATGTCTCATAGCGTCGCATCTTGTCATTACTTCCTGTTTTTGGTTCATTTTGAAGTATTTGGTCCGTGTTGTGTTCATATTTCATTCGAACCGCACCAGTGTTCGTTTGAAAGCGGACCGAGACCCATCTTTTTAGCGGTCTTGGTCCGCTTGTTTGGTGCACACCAGGGTTTGGATGGCAGCGTTCACACTTAATCAAACCACAGTAACAGAGCAATCGCACCAGGCTTCGTTTTAATCGAACCAAACATGACAAGTGTGAACACACCCTCAATGCATTCTACGCAGAGTGGACTTGGCTTGGACACAGTTTTGTTTTTAATGGATTCTAAAAAACTTGATTTTAGAGGAATTCCTGTTTTCTATCGAAGTCTCTTTAAAATATGGAGTCTGTTTAAACATCAGTGGATGGAACCACTGATGTCTTTGTACTGGCTTCTGGAGGAGCCCATTGTGTTTGGTGCATGTCTCGTTTCTGGTGAAGAAATACCAGGTATTATAGATTTGCTTTACAGAAGTGGATCTCTACAACTGAAACACATTATAAATAATGCAGGTTTTTTAAAGATGTAGAAGCAGTTTAATTTTTTTTCTCTTTGTTATGATGTTTGAGAATTGTGTAATACAAGAGCTGTCAAAATAAAAGCATAGTGTTTACATTGAAATATAAAAAAAAAACAATACAATGAATTCTCTCTCTTGCTCTCTAAATTTCCTTTGGCGTAGGATTTTATTTTTCTGCACATTTTATTTCAGCCCTAAATCACTTTCCTTATATATAATACGTACAATATTTATTTAGAACTTTGCTATGAATACAGCACCACATTCACATTTCAGCCGCGCCCAGCTGATGTAGTAACGAGCTAATGATTGGAATCAGGTTTGGAGTGAGAAGTAGGCCCACAGCTGTGGGACGTGAGGTCATAGGTTTAGGCTTGGTTCACAAGCAGAGTATTGAAGCAGCCGTCGTGTGAAAACATGGGCGACTCGACCCAGCAGATGCTACAGTACGCCACTCACTCCTGTTGTTCCATTCTATGCCTTGCTCTTTTACTAACGCTTGCTTGCCTTTGCTCTGCTTCCAGATCTGCAACGCTTGAGCTTCTACCAGGACTACGCTCAACATTTCACATTGTATGTATACTTATTGCTGAGATTGTGGCCTCATTAAATATAGGGCTGCACGATAAATCGCAAGTGACTGTCATGCTTATCACGTGCTTTCAGATGGAGCGGCATTTAATACACAGAACCGTAGTTCGCGGACAAGCTACGCAATATCACGTTCATAATCGAATGCGATTATGAACGCGATATTGTGTAGCTTGTCAGCGAACTACAGCTCTGTGTATTAAATGCCGCTCCATCTGAAAGCACGTGATGGAGATTTAATCACAGAACCGGCTTTACTGACGAGATGCACATGACAATCACATGCGATTTATCGTGCAGCCCTAATTAAATATATTGCTTTTTACTGTTCTTCTTCACAGTTAGTTGCTTTGAATAAATATTTTGCCAACTCCATGATACATTTCTTCTCAGCTCCCTCATTAAACACCTGATTTCTGCTCGTTGGTACACATCCAATAGGTACACCAGGACTAGGTTTGGGAACACACTGTTAAATTAGTACAATAAACACTACGCAAATAGCACACATTACCCTCAACCTTACTGTTCTAGGACACAAGCATCAGTTCTTGCTACTTCAAGTCAGTTACACATATTGATGTCAACAGCTACCATCTTCAGAAGGCCACAGTACCAAAGGCATGCGCATACCTTAGAACAATTTGTCATGTCTAATGCCTACAGATGACATCTCAGCAGCCCGCACACATGCAAGTACAAAGAACCAAACCCCTACTACCAATCTGCATTGCAGTAATTACATCAGCAACAATTCTACACTATAAACTCCATCCCAATATAATTATATAATTAGTAACCCGATGTACTAAAACAGAACACAAACAGTCAATGGCTTTGATTGTTGGAAGTGGTGACGCAATACAAGTTCAACCTGCACACTGAAGAACTATAAAGACTGCTCCGTGACCCAGTAATTGAGCTAGTTCTGTCTTCCAATGGTGACTCATTATTAACTTTTCATAAAGCAAATTTACTTTACTTCAGCTGCTTTTAAGGACCACAATACTTTACTTTCTAACTACTTTACAAATGTCAACATGAACTGTCATTTAACATTTCATTCATCGCACTACATAACACAACTAAACCACATTAATTAAATGTATTACCAGTGTAAAACCACTTTAAATGCACTGACTACCAGATGGATCATCTACAGCCCACATATAAATTACAAGTACTGACAAAATCCTTTATCATTTCGCAATCACTCACCTCACATCAATAAGCACACCTTAACCAACTAATTCTCAAGACACATCATATCAACACTTCACAGCCAGCTCATTTGTTTTCTTCACTCACACAGACAATCCAATTCTTACTGAAGGCCAAGAGCCAATGCTTTCCCAGTGCGGTGCTGTCGGGCTCATAATAACACCATCACTGACACCAGACTGTCAAAGCATGATGACTACACACAAGTGCTGGAAAAAGCACAACTTTGCTTACAAGCAAGCTTTTGTAGTTGGATTGCATCATCATTAAAGCTACTGCACACCCATCTCACTGCATAAACATAATGCTTCGTGAACCAGCACATTAACTTTCAATGTGTGTGCCATGAAAATCTAATAACAAGGATATCGTGTTAAACTATCTGTGACATATATTACTGCCAAACCTTGACCTCCTGAAGATCTGCTTCACAATAACAAACATGTAAAGCAAGGAGAGTCAGTCCACTTCCGCTGTGACATGTCATGTGTGTGCTCTACCCCCATGGGATGCCCCCATGTATCTATAATGTTGATCAAATATCCAATGGGGCCCAGTTCAGTGGAGGTCACCTCACATAAACACTTACGTCAGGAAACGAACTATGAGACCTGAGAGCATTGTTACCCTAAAGCAGAGGATGATTGTATTTGTAATCTTCCGCTAAGCACCTTTGCAATATGGAGCTGATTGCTGCGAGATAGCAACATGGTCGTTTGATAGTCGTTCCTGTTTTACTTTCTAACTACTTTACAAATGTCAACATGAACTGTCATTTAACATTTCATTCATCGCACTACATAACACAACTAAACCACATTAATTAAATGTATTACCAGTGTAAAACCACTTTAAATGCACTGACTACCAGATGGATCATCTACAGCCCACATATAAATTACAAGTACTGACAAAATCCTTTATCATTTCGCAATCACTCACCTCACATCAATAAGCACACCTTAACCAACTAATTCTCAAGACACATCATATCAACACTTCACAGCCAGCTCATTTGTTTTCTTCACTCACACAGACAATCCAATTCTTACTGAAGGCCAAGAGCCAATGCTTTCCCAGTGCGGTGCTGTCGGGCTCATAATAACACCATCACTGACACCAGACTGTCAAAGCATGATGACTACACACAAGTGCTGGAAAAAGCACAACTTTGCTTACAAGCAAGCTTTTGTAGTTGGATTGCATCATCATTAAAGCTACTACACACCCATCTCACTGCATAAACATAACGCTTCGTGAACCAGCACATTAACTTTCAATGTGTGTGCCATGAAAATCTAATAACAAGGATATCGTGTTAAACTATCTGTGACATATATTACTGCCAAACCTTGACCTCCTGAAGATCTGCTTCACAATAACATAAACATGTAAAGCAAGGAGAGTCAGTCCACTTCCGCTGTGACATGTCATGTGTGTGCTCTACCCCCATGTATCTACAATGTTGATCAAATATCCAATGGGGCCCAGTTCAGTGGAGGTCACCTCACATAAACACTTGACCTGAGAGCATTTGTTACCCTAAAGCAGAGGATGATTGTATTTGTAATATTCCGCTAAGCACCTTTGCAATATGGAGCTGATTGCTGCGAGATAGCAACATGGTCGTTTGATAGTCGTTCCTGTTTAGTTGCTGCCTACGTGACACACGGCTGTTTGGGGAAGGCCAAAAGAATGGGAAAAACTAGCTTTACGGAAAGCAAAACACCTGCAAACTCGATGGAATATGTAACCGCAGTCTGCGAGATGCCTTAGTAAATAGCGTGGAAGGTTATAGGATGAGTAATGTCCATTAGTGGTGTAAACAAGTATAAATATAACAGTGTGCTCACATCGGACACAGATGCTTTTAATTATGACTCTGCTTAATGGGATGCTCTGCGTGACAAACACGCAGATACTGCTGAAATACAAGTACTAAAGCACCTCTTGTTTACACTGGTAACAAAATGACAGTGGCTACTTCACTAGAAAATGTTTGCTGTTTTGTGGAAATCTTCAGCTGACGTGCCACCTGAAAAAGTGTGAGTTGCCTCTTTGGATACTGCTCTGTTTGTCACCTTTCCGTACCAATTTGCTGCTATAAAGGCCTACTTTTACTGGGTTTACTGGGTTCACTTAACTGCACTATTTTAAAAACTACTCTTTAACTGATATCTTTGTAAAGGTCATATAGATCTAAATTATTTGGATTAATTAATTCATAAAAATGTCATGCAAGTATACTGACTGAGAAGGCCGGGCTATTTTAAAACCATGTTAAATATGCACTGTCAAATCTACAGACAATTCTGGAATAGTATGAGATCTGGAAATGGAAAATGCATAGGAACCCTGATTTCAGGTAAAATGCTGTAGAAGTGTGTGTGCAAGCAGCCTATAAATTGTCACTTCTAATTAATAGACATGTTAATAGCGGTTATATCGACATTGTTTCCGTACGCAAATGAAATGGCTATACGGTTATCGACAGATAATGCTTATTTGAAATGATGCTTCTGGACATGTGCACTTGTAAAATCTCTCATTTAGGCGTTACGAGACCGCTGTCGGCTTCTCACCCGGTTTAGCAGGTCGATCTCCTCCTTCAGCTTAACGATCAGCTCATCATTATCCTGGTGGGCTTTCAACAGGCGACTTGTCTCCTGTCTCTCCGCGGCCAGCTCCTGTGAAAGTGCAATTCCATCAGATCCAAAGCCTTAAACACAATTACGACTGTACGTAGTGTGCAGTGCTTTGCTTACTTTCATACTTCTATATACAAATAAGCACTGTTATGATTGACCGATCTCTTAGCATGTCAAATGATTAAAGCCATGCATGGCAGGTTGCTGAATACTTGATACGCATTATGGAAATGTGGTGATTGTCAATATAGTGGTCTTTTCCAAATTATTTTGCACCTTAGTTTACATTAACACTCTGCACATGTACAAGAGAAAGCACTTTTTGTTAGTTGCTTGGTTGTATTTCTGCAGTATTGAGCTTTATAGTGACATTTCTTTGCGGTATGGACAGAAACATTTCTTATAACAAACTTGGCACATCAGGCATGGTTAGGATGTGCTGTTTGTTTTATTCAAAACAACGTAGAAATATGCTGTCCGTGTCCCCCTCAGCTTTTCGTTTCACTTAGGAGGTAAATTCTCTGCTAAGTGACTAAATAAAAATGAATAAATAAATACATTCTCAATTTTCCCCATTACAAATGTTCGTCCTCCAGCACACCTACATGTAGGAGCATGTGAACATGTTCTTACATCCTCCGAGACACATTAATATGTATGACTATAATGCAGGGCTATAAAGCAGCACCTTGTTTCACTGTGTCACTATAGATGTTCCTCTCACGATCGTGATGCGTGTGCTCTTAATGCGCCGTGTGTCTTTAAGACCGCTGTTCGGCTGATCTCAAGGTTTAAGAAATATTCAACTCGCTATTAAAATAAAGCGTACGCTGCATGAAAATGTGTTGCATGGAAAATCTGAAGCCAATTAAGTTGAAGGTTATTACAGTGCTGTCTGAGTCACACAGAGTTATATGTGAAACTGTATGAAACCGCCGCAAGATAAGGCACTAAAACAACTCGGGGCTTACTGGGTTTGAATATGGACCCCAGGCTGAAATTAAATTTAATATCAGTATATGACATCAAATTCGTGTGGGTTCCAGGTTTGTAAGTATGCTGACATTTGAGAGTGAGAGGCACGGGGTTTGGTCTCGTGGCGTTTTGTAAAAGCGCTGCATATGGAGATGTCTTTCAGAGAAAGGTCAGGATTGCGCTGAGAGACAGTCGGAAACGGCCGTCATTTAGCGTCAGCCAAAAGATAGCAGAAAGTCATCAGAAACCAGCTGAAATGTTGACATTTTTGCCTTTTTGCAGTTTGAGGCAAAAATTGGACTCGATGGGTACGAGGAAAGCCTACAAGACCAAAAGTTCACGTCAAGTGCGCCGTTTGGGACAGGACCTATGTGAAAATCTGTAGGTAGGATAGGCAGCTCTATCTTGATGGTAAACACACAGAAGCGTACCCTTTCTAGCTCCTCTATCCTTCTCTCCAGGGTTGTGGGCGCGGCACCGCTGCCTTCCCTTCCGTGTCGGTGGCGATGTCTGTTTCCATCTTCATCGCTGCACAAAAAAAAAAAAAAAAA